TCAGTGCGACAGCCTCAGAGGACGTTGTCCTGCATGCCCTGGCATTGCGTCACAGGCCCCCGTCCACGCAGCCTTCTCCACACTGACCAACAGTCAGCCCACGTCTCTCTGGGCAGTACAGCCAGTTCCAGAAGTTAAAGGTCAGAGTTGCGGGCTCATTGCTCAAACCAAACAGGGGAATGTAGAAATAAAAGGAAACACGGATGGGCGCCTTCCGGCTGTGTAATGCCTGTTCTCCCCGAGCAGTCCCGCCCAACAGGACTTCTAAGCATGTCCTAGCTGCACCATTAGGGAGAGGAGAAAAGAAGCTGCTTCAGTATGAGACCGAGTGGGTCTCCCTCTCCACCCCCGGGCAGCCAGAGGCCTGGAGCTCTTACTCAGGAGGCCATGGAGATGGGCCTGAAGAGGTCAATACCCAGCCACTTCTGCCGTTCAGCCTACACCTTGGAATTCCCTAGGGATAGGCCCTCAAGATGATGCCATGTCTTGGGTGATTCACTGTTTCCAACCCCCTAATAACCCTTCCACCTTAACTAAAATCTTGGCAGCCAAAGAACACACTACACTGTAGCCAAGGCAGTCATGGGGCAGATGTTCTAGATTGTCCAGAAAACACAGAGCAACAGCCCCCTGCACGGGGGGTGGGGCGTGGGGGGGGGGGAATAAAATGCTCCACACCTGGGAGGGTGAGCATGACTCTAAGTTACAAAACAAAGAAGAGCTGTGTTCAAGTTAAAAGGCTGACCAGTACCCGGCCAACCCAGGCTGCCTCAGGAGAAGGAACTTGAGGACATGGAGAAGTGTTGCAACAGAGAACAGCCTCTTTTCCTCGGCGAGCTGAGGTTTCCCTTCATTCAGACAGTCAGGCACTTGTCACTTCTTGGGGTAAACATAGGGCTTCTCCAGAAACAAATGACCAAAATAATTATGAGAACAAGAGGTGACTCCATAACTTTAAAGGACTTAAAACTCATATCAACCAATGAACAATTCAAAGGAGAAATTAAAAAACAATTCATTGGCAATAGTGTGAAAAAATAAAATAGGTGATGAATGGGTGGAGGCAGAGGACTTCTGGGCAAAGGAAACTACCCAATATGACAGTATAAGGGTGGGTACATGTCATTATACATTTGTCCAAATCCATAAAACGTACAGCACCAAGAGTGAACCCTTATGTAAACTACGGACTTTGGGTGAGAATGATGTGTCATCGTAAGATAATCAATTGTAACAAATGTTCCACTTTGGTGACGGATGCTGATAACAAGGGAGGCTGTGTGCGTGTAGGGGTAGGGAGTATGTGAGCAATCTCTGTAACTTCCACTCCATTTTACTGTGAACTCAAAACTTCTCTAAAAAAACAGTCTATATTTTTCAAAAAGAATATATAAAAATAGTTAGGAATAAGCTTAACCAGGCAGGTTTAAGGAACTTTAACACTGAAAATTATAAAACATTGATAAAAGAAATTAAAGACACAAGTAAATGGAAAAATAGACCACATTGATGAATTGGAAGGCTTAATATTGTTAAAATGTCCATACTACCCAAAACAATCTACACACTGAATGCAACCCCTATCAAAATCCCGATGGCATTGTTTGCAGGAACAAAAAAATTCTAAAATTCATATACAATCTCAAAGGAACTCGAAGAGCCAAAGCAATCTTAAGAAAGAAAAATGAAGCTGGAGGCCTCATACTTCCTGATTTCAAAACATATTACAAAGCCACAATAATAATCAAAACAGTGTAGTACTGGGGTAAAGATAGATACATAGACGGATGGAACACAGTAGAGAGCCCGGAAACAAATCCTCACATACCTGATTAAAGGATCATTGACAAAGCTTCCAAAGTGACAAATGGTTCTGGGGAAACTGGATAAGGATGCCAAAAAGAAAAAGAAAAAAGAAGCTGAACCCTTACCTTACATCATATACACAAATTAACTCAACATGGATTAAAGACCTAAATGTAAAAACTGAAAAACTGAAACTATAAAAATCCTAGAAAACAACATAGAGGAAAGCTTTATAACACTGGAATGGGCAATGATTTCCTGGATATGACAGCAAAAACACAGGCAACAAAAGCACAAATAGACAAATGGGATTATATCAAACTTAAAAACTTCTATGCAGCAAAGACTCAACAGAGTGAAAGGCAACCTACAAAATAGGAGAAAATATTTGCAAACCATTTATCTGACAAGGCATTAATATATAAAAAAACTCCTACAACTCAACAACAAAAACAACCTGATTTAAAAATGAGCCCTAACTGGTGTGGCTTGGTGAGTTAAGCTTCATCCTGCAAACCAAAGGGTCGCCAGTTTGATTCCAGTCGGGGCACGTGCCTGGGTTGCAGGCAGGGTCCTCAGTTGAAAGAGTGGAAGAGGCAGCCTGATAGATGTTTCTTTCTCACATTGCTGTTTGTGTCATACTTTCTTCCTCCTTTCCTCTCTCCTTAAAAATAAAAAAATAAAATCTTTTTTTAAAAATGAGCAGAGGACTTGACATTTCTCCATAGAAAATATATAAATGTTCAAAAATGCATATGAAAAGGCGTTCAACCTCACTAATCATCAGAGAAATGCAAATCAAAACCACAATGAGAAATTACTTCATAACCATCAGAATGGCCACTTATCAAAAAAAAAAAAAAACTGGCAACCAAGTTTTGGCAAAAATATGGAGAAATCAGGACCCTTGTGCACTATTAGTGGGAATGTAAAACCGTACAGCTGCAATGGAAAACAGTATAGAGGTTCCTCAAAAAATTTTTAAAAAAGAATTACCATAAAATTCAGCAATTTCACTTTTGCATATATATCCAAAAGAATTGAAAACAGGGCCTCGAGGAGATATTGGCACACCCATGTTCATTATATTACTTTTCACAGTAGCCAAGAGGTGGAAGCAATCTAAATGTCCATCAGTAGATGAATGGATAAAGAAAGTGTAGTTTATATAAACCCCCAAATATTATTCGGACTTTAAAAAGAAGGAAACCCTCTTACATGCTACAACATGGATGAATCTTGAGGCAATTATGCTAAGTGAAAAAAGCCTGTCACAAGAGGACAAACACTGCATGATTCTACATATATGAGGTATCTAAAGTAGTCACACTTGGAAACACAGTAGAATAGTGGGTATTAGGGGCTGGGATTAGGGTAAAATGGGGAGTTCAACGGGTACAGGGTTTCAGTTTTGCAAGTTTTAGAGATCTGTTGCACAACAATGTGCAATGGTAAATTTTGTTATGTGCTTTTTACCAGAATTAAAAAAAAACAAAACAGATCTACCAATTGTAATACATGGACCTCATTTGTATCTTGATTCTAAGAAACTATAAAAAATAAAACATATGAGACAATAAGGGAAATTGAATGTGACTAATGTTTAATATAAAAGCATTGATATTTTTGTGCGTATAATGAGTGGCATTTTTTTTTTTACATGATTCCTCTTTGCTTAGAAACTCCAAAAATATTTATGGATGAAATGATGTCTGGCTTATTGGGTAACCACTCTGTAAGGAATATAAACATCTAATCACTATGGTGTATACCTGAAACTAATATTTCATGTCAACTCTAATTAGAAAATAATTTAAATAAAAAATAAAATTTTAAAAAATGATATATGAGACTTGCTTTGAAAAACTCTGGTGGAGATGGGCGGTATAAAGGAATCAAGATGGCCAGGAGGAGTTGAGCCTCACTGAAGATGGGTGATAGGTACATGGAGGTTCATACTCATGCATGGTCTACCATTATATGTTTTATTTTTTTCTACAGTAAAGACTAAAACTATAGTAAAGACTGGCATGTGTGGTTCAATGGATTGAGTGCTGGCCTGCAAACCAAAGCATTGTTGGTTCAATTCCCAATCACGGCACATGCCTGGGTTGCAGACCAGATCCCAACCCAGTAGGGGGCACATGAGAGGCAACCACTCATTGATGTTTCCCTCTCTTTCTCCCTCCCTTCCCCTCTCTCTAAGAATAAATAAAATATTTTTTTAAAAAAACATTAAATAAAGACTAAAACATAAAGCAAGTGCCTCTCAGAGGGTTGGGGCTCTCAGGAATATACACCTCGTCTTGAACTCATCTATTAAGACTGTCTCCTTCTCAACTTCAGGAGGATCCAGACCCATCAGGAATCCAGCTGTTCTGTGTTGACACACAGCCAGCCTTCTCCGAAACCTTTGGTGTCTGCAAGTGCTCTTCCATTCAGTGACAAAACAAGGAACTCAGCCAATCAATCTTTAGTGAAAAAACTCAGGAGCAGCAACACGGGCTTCGGCTGCGAGTTGTGGTTGTAGGGCTGTCTTATTTCAGTAAGCATTCCCAGTTTGTGTGATGAGAAAGCTACCCAAGAGTCTACGGGGTCCTTCAAGGAGCAGCAGGCCACTCTGGTCACTAGCACCTCAACATCCTGACAGCCAGTGAGGGCGAGGCCTCTGCCTGGGGGGAGCAGGGAACAGGGAGGAGACCACAAGGAAGGAGGGTGGGATGAAGTCACCAGGCACAGACAGAAAGCAGGCAGCAAAACCTTTGCATCTACTTGGAAGTTTTGCCGAGGGTGGGCTCTTTTCTAGAAAAGGAAAACTTTCTTACACTTCCTGCACCGCCTGGCTCCGTGCCCCAGCCCTTCCTTTCCCAGCTGCTCCCACACAGAAAGCAGTGCCAGTTCTTCAGGGGGCTGCAGTTACTCACACTTAAGCTTAGGACAAGACACATGGGGGCCACCCAGGGTCCTCTCATCCCCGACTGCAGGAGGGCGAGGAGAGGAACTTTCAAATCAAATACCAAAGGGATACAGGGAGCCTGGGGTGAACTTGTGCTGCCGCTGGGTTTTATACTCTACATGCAGCCCTTACAGAGGGTAGCTTTGCTAAAACAGAATACAATGAAAACAATCAAGTTAATTGTTATGTCTATATTAGTGGTTCAAAAAGAAACTACTTTCACAAGAACAAAGTTATAACACTTTAATAATTTAAATAGAATTAACTTTAGGAACATACATACACATACATAAAATTTAGACAATTTAATTGCACAATGTTAAAAGTCCCCAAAATGGACTCAAGTTCATGGGTATGAAAAGGTCATTTTGAAGTATTGCAGACCAGAGTAAAACAGGCAAAATAATTACACTTACCAATAAGACAACAGCCTCTGAATACATTAGACTTTTATGAGAACACTTCTATGGAATGTTAAAGTGTCATTTAGAAAAGGAATACAATTGATCTCAGAAAGATAAATTTATACTAACAATTTCTTTGGTCCTCCAAGTAACACCTGCTTTTACTTTAAAATACCAAACATGAGCTGAGTGCTTAAGTCTACCTCTAAATGTCTAAATATTAAGTAGGATAATGGATATACTAGCTTTGATTTTAAAAGGAACTCAAAATCTACCACCACTGTACTTTAGAAAATCCAAATATAGAAAAATATAAGAAATGGAAGTAGGGAATGTTCTTAACAAAAAAAAATCCCTGCCATTTTGTCTCATCATAAGCCAAACAAGGGACATCAAAGTGGCAGAAATAGGACTACCAAAGTTGAAGCAAGCACTGTAGTTAACTCTTAAGGTACTGGGATAAATTTGAAGAGCACTATTGTCAGCCAAATAAAAAGCTTCTCCATGAAAAACTGTGTTTGCATTTTTGCAGGGATGTTTGGCTACTTTGTTTTAATTTGGCCCACACTGCCCCAGTAGAGGAAATTTTAAGATAATCATTAATAAGGCAACAGCTTCCTGGACCACTTAAACAATTATACTGAGGACAAGGTCCACGTGGACCACAAGGGAAACCAGTATGTGAGCTTCCAGTATTTTCCAGTAATTCCAGAAGGTTATGGTGCATTTTCATAGACACCAACAATACAGTGTCAGTAGACATTGGACAGACATAGCTCATAATGCAGAGTCCACAATTAGTTCGTTCTCCATCCTTTCATGTGCATGGAAGCTACCTGAAAGTATGAACACTCAAAAGTTTCTGGAATATTTAGCAACACTATTCATAAGATTTTTTAAAAGTTTTGAGGCATCTGCCGGAAACACACAACATAAGCTCCCAAGAAACTTCAAAAGGTAGAACTTTGAGCACTATTTATGTTCAATGTCAGTACTAAGTCTTATAAAATAATGGCTTTTAAATAAAGGCAAAGGTATCTACACTCTAAACGGTGTGATATTCTCATCAAGGCACAGAGAGTTAAATGTCTAAACCCCTGTATGTTGACATGAGAATACACTCGTAAACAATTCCAGGAACTAATTCCCTAGACATGAGTTTTAAAAAGAATAGTAGGTAGAAATGTGCCTTTTTAGCTCGCAATAAAATCAAAAACATAGGTATTTCATCACCTTCCCTTGGTGAATAACGTTACAAGTAGACAGTTAAAAAATAAATATATAAAAAATAAAGTGTCACTGGTGGTTTAATAAACATGATTGAAGTGGAGCCTGTCGGACTTTGAGTTTGCAGAGCAACACTGCGCACTGTACAATAAATTATTTTAAGCACTACACCATTTTTGTTTGGGGAGTAGAAAAAGCAGTATATTGGCTATATTTTCTCCCATTTTCAACACTCTTATGCTTATGAACCAAATTACCATACTATTTGAACAAAATACATGAGTTCTTCTCCCTTCCCAGCATCCTCAGGTTATCTGAATGGCAGTGATGGTGTACATACAATTTAACACTATTGGCAGTGTGCTTGAATGTCATCACTAAATGGTGGCAAGAAGAAAATAGAGGGCCTACCCCTTTACTAAAATTATTTTTATTTGACCTGCAATAAATACTTATTAAACACAATTAGTGACAAGGAGTAAGTTTCACATCTGCTACAATTGAGAATAGAACTGTACAAACAATTAAGACCAGACAACCAATGCTACTAGAGGCATGATCTGCAAAGCACACAGCACACGCGGGAAGTTCAGGTCCTAATGAGAGTAAGAAACTCTTCCCGAGTCTTTGGATCTTCCCGGAACACACCCAACATTGTGCTGGTCACAGTCTTGCTGTTCATTTTCTGTACCCCTCGCATTACCATACACATGTGTCTACAAAACAAGCCAACAAAGGAAGAAGAGACAGTTACTGGTTTGGTTTTTTAAATAAAAAGCAGTCCAAAAAAACCAAACTTGATTAAACTCAGTTCACCATGACCAAGTTTGTTACTGAGACAAATTTTATCTTAAAAATTTTTTTTTAAGTTTCTTAGTCTTGTTGCTTTTATTCTTCTTAGTGGTTAAGTCCTTAAGGCATCCAACAGGAGAGGGGGAAATGGAATATTCTTCCTGGGTAAATACAAGTGGTCCACAGAGACATAACAACTTCTAGATAAAAAGAAATGCAGAGTTCTCACTTGATCCATCTTCAGGACCAGGCCAGCAGCACACTAGTTGGGGCATTAAGAGCAATACTGAGGGATGCTGGGCTCACCAGCCAGAATCCAGAGGGCGGTGACCAACCTGGAGAAGCTGGGCAGTGTACGCAGTACAGGGTCCATGCCACACCAGGAGGGTGGGTGAGAACTCTGCCCACAAGCTGTGCGCAATTCTCACAGTGCATTCTAACTTAAGGAAGAGTCTTCAGTTGTATTTTGTACCCATTCTTGGTTCTCTCTCTTTTTTAAATATGTGTCAAAATATTAGAAAAATTCTGCTTGGGGCAACAAAAGAGCTAAAAAAGAAATCAAGAGAAGACATACAACGCTGCTGCTGGTGCAAATCACTACACCCAAGCTTATGAGTCCTTCCTCTTCCACAATCCCCATAAAAACAAAAACAAGGGGGGAAAAAAAAAAACAGTATCCCATGTTGCGGTTTCCGTATTGGCAACACAGTAAATGAATGAGGTAAAAGGGCTTCAGGCTCAGAGATGGAAAACATGATGGTGTCAGTGTGTGGCACCACCTGATGCTAGATAAACCGACCAGCACTGAATATCATTTCCACACACCACTATATTACTAAAGGCAAATACAGACTTACGTTGCTTCAACCACTACCCCAACTCCAGCAGGTCGCAAGGCTTCTGTGATTGCTATGGCAATTTGTTTCGTAAGGCGCTCCTGAACTGTGGATGTGACAAGGAGCTCAGTTTAAGTATCTGACACAAAGAGAAAGCTGAAAGCTTTTGCTCTCTCTAAAATACATAAAATCTTAAAAAGCAGACTTCTGTGAGATTTAAAAGCCAAGACATGCTAGCTTCTACCAGCTGGCTTCGTGTGCTGCCTGGGCCAAGGAGGCCCTATTCAATTCCTAGCCCTGCAGTGTGGGTGCTGACGAGAGCTCGGGAAGCCGTGGCGCCCTCCAGCACCACCACGGGGAATGGATGAGAAGAGCCATAGTCTCCCAGGTGCACAGTAAACCCAGCAGAATGCTGATAACGAGCACCTCCACAGAGGTGGGGCAGAGCAAATGAACGGCTTGGCAACAGGATTAACAAAGGGGCGACAGTTTGAGAACTGAGTTGTCCTTAGAGCAATGTAGAAAATCAATGATTTAACCTAAATAATGCAGTTTCTGTGCTGAATACACAACTAATCTTTGAATACATACATTCACTGAAGCATTACATCCATTTGAAAGCTCACAAAATTCCCAAATGTCTATCAGATCAGGGACTGATTAAATCAGGCCACAGCACGGCCATGCAATGGAGTGCTAAAGGGTAGGCAAAACAAATGAGACACATACATGTATGTGGGGAACATGTTGAAGACATACGTGAAAAAAAAAAGTAGGGAGAAAATATAAATGAAGCCCTCTGTTTATAATGAGCCCATTTTGAAATGTAATAAAAATAAATTGATTTTAAAATGTTGGTATATCCATAAAAATGTTAAGGAATGTATACAGAATTTTTCATTTTTATATTCTTATGAGGTTTTAATTTTTATAAGTCATGTATTACATTTATAATAACAAAAAAGGATTTTCCATAAGAAAAAATTTTTCTGTAAAAAGATAGTTTTAAAATTTACCTTGTAATCTTCTACTATAGATTTCTACAATCCTAAAAAAGAAAGAATTATTTTAGTTAATCATAAATTTTTTAAAAGTGAAATTGCTAGGGTTTCCTCATAAGACTAAAAGGACTTTACTGAAGCAACTGTAGGGTGCAGGCAGATCAATGTTTACAGGAGGGTAGAAAAATATGAAAAATATAGGAGATCAGCTATGAGACTGGTGCTTCCCCATGTTCCCAGAGAGAGAGAGAATTAAGAGTATATAGTTCACTTACAAAAAACACAATTAGAGATGAGTAATTTCAAAGCTTTCAAGTCATCAATTCTGAGCTAAGTCTTAAGTGTTCTAATTAATCATATTGTTTAATCAGAGCTTATAGTTCAAGTTAAAAATAAAAAGACTTAATTAATAGGCAGACCATTGTCAGCTACCGTCCCAACTAAACCTATTAGTATAATCATATTAGAACTGAACGGACTTCATACATCTCTTTATAAAATGAGTCTGTGTAGGCAATCAATATGATTAACGTCCCTCCCAAAATAAAAGCTTACTGATCTTAGCTTATAACGCAATCCGTTAAATGATGATTTTTCTCCTTTATTTTTTGGGTTATTTTAAGATTTTATTTATTTATTTTTAGACAGAGGGAAGGGAGGGAGAAAAAGAGGGAGAGAAACATCAATGTGTGGTTGCCTCTCACAGGCCCCTTACTGGGGACCTAGTCCACAACCCAGGCATGCACCCTGATTGGGAATCGAACCAGCGTCTCATTGGTTCACAGGCTGGCGCTCAGTCCACTGAGCCACACCAGCCAGGGGAGTTTTTTCTCCTTTCAACACCTTTCACTCTAGCTGTGAAACGTAAAGATGGCCATATGAATCATCTGTTCCAGGATAACAATACACATTAAGGACACTTTCCTTTAAAATCTGTCCCTTTAGTCATGAATTTGGACTTAAGAATCACCTTGTCTATGATGCACTTTAAGGCTCTTCCTCCCAGTATGATCCTCAGATAGAATGGGCAGCTTGCTCCTTTATACTCTATTACAGTCAATAAAGTCAATAAATGGTGCACTGCCCTATTCACGACTCAGTCTGAAGGCAGGAGCCATTCTGATTCTTCTGTGTTCCCAGTAGGTAAACAACATTGAAGAAATTCCAATATATATTTTTTATTTTGAACAAAAACCTGAGAAAGGATGGCTCAAGTTCCTAGATAGAAAATGGCTTATTCTTACCAGGTCAAATTTCTATATATATTATTTCTGAGAGTTTTCCAGGTGGTTCATTTCTGTTACATAAGAGATGTCATCAGTTTAAAAACTAGGAATGTCTTCCTCTTCAGAGTTGCCATTTCTTTTTCTCAAGTAAAATTTCAGGTACAACGTTAGGTAACAGTGTTGACATTAGGCACCCATGTTTCCCCCCGTGCTTTAATAGGAATGCCTCTAACATTTTACTCTCACCCACGTTGCCTGTTTCTGGTAGACGGCCAATGTCACCCCGAAGGAGGGTCACTCTGGCACGTTGTTGAATGCCTACTATGTATATGATTCTGTGGTGAACACGATCCCTATGCGCAGAGAGTTTACTATTTCTTATCCCTAGTTCATTCATTTTTCTTTTTACGTAAAAACTAGGTGGTGAATTTGTCTCCTCAGCATTAAGGAAAATCATACGGCTTCCCTGTGTTAAAAAATATATATATTTTGCCCTCATTCTTGAAGATAATTTGTTGAAGAGGTATTTGTTGAGAACAGAATTCTAGTTTGACACTGACGTTCATCTGCCTTTTAATATTGCCATTGGGAAACCAATTGTCAGTCTAATTGCTGTTACCTTGTAGGTAATATTTCTCTCTGTGGCTAATTTTATGATATTTGAGTATATATACTCTGCAGTTTTCCACCGTATCTAGGTGAGGATTTAATTTCAGTTGTCCTATTTGGGACTTATTCGGCTTCCTGAATCTGAAGATATATTTTGCATGTGCTCAGAAATGTTTTTAGATATTACCTTCTCTAATATTGCACCCACCCCACTGCCTCTGTCGTCTCCTGGAATTTCAATTAAGGGCACACTGGACCTTCTCAGTCTTCCATGTCTCTGACATTCTCATTCATAGTACAACCGAGTTTACCACACTCCCAGAATCAGTTCTCAAATTTTAATCTGAACCGTTTTTGTAATCTTGGAGTAAACCATCTTGGGACATGATCAAAATAATACTTGTAGCCTGTTAAAACAGGGGTTTTAAAAAATATTTTTTGGATTTTAAAAACTATATTAATAAGTGAGATTAGTCTATAATTTTTTTAATTCTAGTTTTATCAAGCTTTGTTATCAGGAATAGGCAACTTCATCAAATCGATCGGAGAGCTTTTCAGGTTTTTCAATGCTCTTAAATTGTTTATACAACATGGGAATTTGTGGTTCCTTGGAAGTCTGAAAGAACGCCTATTAAATTGACCGGGTCCCACCCCTCCCCATTCCACTCCACTCCTAACATTAATTTGACTTTTTACTTTTTTTTAAGTGATTTTTTTTTTTAAGAGAAAGAGGGAGGGAGGGAGAGAGCAAGAGACAGAGAGAGGAATGTCAGTTTGCTGCTCCACTTACTCATGCAGCCACTGTTTGCCCTGGCCGGGGAGCGAACCCACTGGTGGATCAGGGTGATTCTCTAACCAACTGAGCTACGTGGCCTGGGCTAATTGGACTTTTTCTAATGGTTACTAGCTTATCCAGGTTTTCTAATTCTCAATTTATTCCCTTCTCTATCTTTTTCTTAAAATTTATTTTGAAGATTTAAAGTTTTTAAAGCATATTCTTAGTTACATAGCCTCTCATTCCAAGATAGGTTTCCTCTCAATTCTGCTTTGTAGCTACTTTTTGTCATCTCAAGGAAAGACTGAGAGGTAATTAGTGTCCCACCCACTTTTTTCAGGTATGCCAGTTTCTGTATGCAGTTCGGCCAGCTCGTTTCTTGTTTTGAACCCACTTTCATGACCACTTTTATTATGCAAACTTTTTCAAAATAAGAAAATCTGCTTTGTCTCTTTTGATAAATTTTACCTTGCTTTTATTTTGAACCTTTATGATTTTTTTAAATTGACTCTAGAGAGAGAGGAAGGGAGGGAGAAAGAGAGGAAGAAAGATTTCGATGTGAGAGAGAAACATTGATAGGTTGCCTTCTGCATAGGCCCTGAGGACTGAATCACAACCCAGGCATGTGCCTAACTGCGAATCAAACCAGTGACCAGCATGTGAGAGCAGATTTAAGGACCCTAAGAGATTAGAGGCAAAGAGGAGTTAGGAGTTTAACATATAATCGAGGAGGAACAGAAGAAAAAGGCCCAACAGAGAGTGGCAGCAAAGACAGCCAGAAGGCACGGGGGTACCAGGGGTGCAGGCAAAGGGTCCTGGGGGGGAGCAGGGGTGTGGGAGCAGGCCAATGAACATGCAGCAGGAACGGGGTGGATTCGCCCTCACTGCTTGCCCCCAAATACATTCCAGATGGATTAAAGATTTAAATATAAAAATAACCCAGGAAATACGAGCTTATGACTACAATAAAGTTTTTAACTTCTTTATAGAAAAAAATAATACTGTACAACAAAGTTAAAAGACAAATGACAAGCCTGGGAAAATTATTTGCAGCACCTGACCTGACTGCTTTAACATTCAGAGAACTCACACAAATCAGTAATAAAAAAGGCAAGTAACCCAATGGAAAAATTAACAAAGGCTAAGTGCAGGAGTTTCTGAAAAGATTCCACCTCATTCTATTAAAGAAATGCAAATTAAAACAATAGGTACCATTTTTCACTTACAAGCCTGGCAAAGATTGAAAAGTGTGATGAAACCCAGTGTTGGCAAAAAGCATAGAGAAAGACACACCCTTTATTATTAAGAGTTTAAATTGGTATTATCTTCTTTTGGACAGCAATTTAGTATGTAAAATATTCAGCTCCCCTTAACCCAGCAAATTTTAATCTAGTAATTTATCTTACAGGTAGACTCAAAGTATGCAAAAACATAGTGTGCCCATGCCAGAGTAAACTGCAACCTCGAACCATTGCCCAGCCTCCTGATCTGTGGGCTGTGAGCACTGAAGGGGTTTGTACACTGTGGAAAAAAAAAAAAAAAAAAGGAAAAAAAAAAGAAAAGAAGAAGAAAAAAAAAAGTATGCAAAAACATTAAGAATATGCCCACCAAAGCATTTTTTTTTCTTTTTGAAAGTAGCCTCAAACTGTAGACTATACTTATCTTATCAAAGACTGGTTAAATGAATTATATTAATCAAAGAAATATTATAACCATTAAAAGGAACCTAGACTTTTTGGAGTGAAATATGTACAAGAGATTTTGATATAACATTTTAAATTTTTAAAAAATTGTAGTACAGAATTTAGGGTATGATCTCCCTGATCTTCCCCCACTCCCACTTTTTTTTTTTTTTTTTTTTGCTTTGTTTTGTTTTGCAAATTTTAAAAAGCTTTGTGTTTGAGTTTTCATGGAAATTTTCCAGAAGGATAGTGAAAGAAATATCTAGTTTTTACTCTGGGCAATAAAAATAGGAAAGAAAACCTTTCCTTTTACTCATTCATATTTAAATTTAACTGGTAGGTATGTTACTTTTATATTTGAGAAAAGAACATTTTTAAAAAGTTCACTTTGTAATCTAACACCTACCCTGCCGTTCCCTTCATCCCTGCCTAAATCTCTTATTTCTATCAATCAAACCTGCCCCCTATCCACTGGAATAAGCGTGCTCCTATCTTCTTATTTGCATTTGCTTATGCATTTGCTATACCTGGAGGAACTTCTCTTCCATTTAGATTTCTGCTCAGCCCTCCACCTCCAGGTCTCCTCAGCCCTGCCAGGCCACAGCTACCTCGGCTCCCTGGAGCTGGGAGCTCCAAAACAGGCACTTCTGTGGCACCGGCGGCCTCATACTCTTGCCCTCCCTGAGGGTAAAGGTTGTGTCCTACTTCTCTCTGGCACAGGGTCCTTTCACTGTATGTGTTCAATAAATAAACTGACTATGGCTACCATAAGGCACTGTGATTCAAAATTCAAGATTTAATTTATGTTCACTCAGTGATTCTAAGGCAAGAAAATGAATATATATTCAATGGATTTTCAGCAACAACAGGAATTTCTATTCAAACTAAGTTTACTCTAGAATTCTTACTAGAGTTAAACCAGATCAACTCACTTCTGGCATTTTCTTGTTACTTGAGACTTTCCTGTTTGATATTTGCCTTCTGTGGCACTGAAAGGTCATTCGTTTAAAGGCAAGCATATAAATACTTCACATACAAGATTAAAATGAACAGTGAAGTTGTGCAAAGACGTTCAGCTTGCTTTATTACTCATCATTCCCTAAATATTCCTACTTCTTACAAGGAGTAAGCAGTTGACTAAAATCTTAGCCTTCTTTTCTGTGTAACAGACCCTTTATTCAAAAATTCTTAAAATATATCTGAAAGTAACATACACTTGGTTCTTTGGTTTAATGTTCCATTTTTCTTCTTAAGTTTTAATCCTATTAGTGTAAGGGCAAATCTCCAGGCTAATGATCAGCTCTTTTGCATTGTTTCATAAAAGCTTAATTATTTGAGATCTTTTCCTTTCACTAGGAAAGTAAATAACTAAAGATTAGTCCTTCTACTCCCAAGTTACCATTTATTCCAAGATCTCATTGGGTCACTCTAGAATCCATTTACGTAAAGTGTTACCTATGGTCTACACAGTGTGGACTTCTAGAGAAGGCTGCTTACCTTAAGACCAAGGCCTATGTAGCCTGCCAAATCTTTTTATAATGTGAGAACTACCCACTCCACATGTTTCACATGTGGACAGTCTGTGACAGGCATCAGCAGTGCCAGAATACCCATATGGGAAAGACGTAGGTCTGGCAATAGAAATCACAGTAGGGTTAATTACCTTACCCTCACCGATACCCTCTTTCAGCCACCCCTTGATACTGCCACGGGGTACAGATCATGAACAGGCAGCAAGATTTCTGGATTTGTGTTAAGAGCCTTATCGGAGTGAAGCAATTATAGTTGATATAATAACATTATTTCATGGTACCAAGTGGCTCTGTGGTTGCAAGACTGCTGACCAGGAGTAAAGTCAGACACTAGGGAAGTTACATTTTCCTCTTCTTCTTACTTTCTCCTTAATTCCTAGAGGAAATGAGTGAAAAGAAAGTAAAAAGAACAGCCATGAAGAGCAACTGTCAGACCTCTGGGTGGTCTTTATAGATTCTGACACAGAATTGAAGATCTGAACCACCACCTCAGGATTGTGGCAAGTCTCAGAGTCTAAGTGAAGAAGCAGCAGAAACACAGGAGAGCCATAGAATAGACACTTGATCACAAAGATTCATTTACTCCGATGTGGTCACTATACCCTCAATCAAGTTATTAAAACTTAGCTTGGTTTACTTTTAAAAATTGAGGGTGGGGGCACTTGACTGTATATCCATTACCTATTTCTTACATTTTGTTCTTAACTTTCTCTCAACACACACACACACACCCTACCTCCCAGGATTTCCCCAGGACTCACTAATTCTATACAGAGAAATTACAAAAAACAATATTTCAAAGCATTAAAATATTGGTGATTGGGCCTATCAGATATGTAGGAACTCTAACCCTCAAGCTGACTGTCAGTTAAACATAGATTAGCATACTCTCCTAAAACCCAAATAAAAGGTAGCAAAGAAATATTAAAAAAAAAGAAAGAAAGAAAGAATGAACACACAGGATAAAGAATGGAAAATAAGATGGTAGCAGAAAGGAGAGAAATGAGAAGAGAGTAAGCGTTATCTTGGAATAGAGCTGAGAAAGCCAAGGAAGGCACAGTCTTGTGTCTGCAGAGGCAAAGAAACCAGGCGCAAACTGGCTGGCCCTGCAGGGTTCCGGAGAGATGCCTGAAGGTTCGCAGGCACAGCTGCAGGCAGCCTTGAGATCCCAAACAGTGGTTTGATTTAAAGTCTGAAGACAGTGCAGTGTAGTTAGACCCCTGCCCAGGTTTCCTCTCCCAGCCCTCACTGTTAGCTCAACCACCCTTAAAAGACAGGTACTCAGGTCCTCTCTGGTCAGGGAAGGCTCTACAGACAAAGGTGAGAGTTAAGACTTCAAGGATGTGCCAATGGATGAAAGGCTAGGAGATAGAGGAGAAGGTAGGAAATGGGGGAGTGAGGAGAGGACATTTGTATTTCAGGTCCTCTATGTTTGTTTCTATGGCTATAAATTTTAAGTTGCAATGTGACTTCCATGTTAGATCCACATAGTTCAAGAAAGGAGGCCTGATGAGATTCTCACTGTGTAGGGCCAGATCCTATAAACCCGTTTTCCTGTTCACTGTGCACTCATACTTACCTTGCAAGTTTGCTGAGGCCAAGGACTTGCTTGTTAGGAAGATAGCCGATATGGACCTTTGGAGAAGAGAGAGAAATCATGAGCTGAGTGAAAATACAGTGCTTCCTTGGGACAAAACAAGGAAATAAGGAAGCATAATACAGAACACTCATGTAATTCAACTCAGTGAAAATGAATCTTTAAGACATCTAGATTTAGGACTTAGAAATGAAGTAGTTATATAAGCATTTAAAAAAAAAACTACATAAATGTAGTAAAAGGAAAATATACAATGACACTGTTAATAAAACAACAAATTTGAAGTATAGTCATGGTATTTCCTGGTGAAGTGAAAATCTCAATACAATTTCTCCTCTATTGAGGGGAAACATCTCAAGCAAACGCATATTATACTCTAGCAACATTAAAATGTAGCCAGGGAACCCTCCTTTAAAGGACTGATCTTTAGTTTTCCAAAGTGGTTGTACCAATATACACTTCACATTCTGTCATGTGAGTCCCTGTCATATTCCACACATCACTGTGGCCTTAAAAATCCCACCCTGTTGTGGGACTCCCCTGTTGAGGGTAGAAAGAGGGGTTCCATGCCCTCTGTCACGCATCATGGCGCCATTTCTAAGCTTCTGGAGAGCACCCCCTGCCAGACAACAGGGGAAGGACACAGATACAAATGTGCCGGCACAGGAACCTGGATCTGAACACTGAAGGTCTCATAAAATTCACTATAAAGGAAAGCTATTTCTATAATCTCAATAGGCACTGATTAATATCTAATATGTAAATGTTACCTCTCTATGAGCCATGTATTAAGTATGAAAAAAAGTTAGTTTTCCAAAAGGGCTAAAAGTAAATGGTCATTTGTAGGCAATCAATCAACCTAATATAAAATTATAGACTCATTTGCATCATGGTGAGCCAGTATTTGTTGCATTTGTTCACCTAATATTTACTATACACTTAAATAATTGATCTAGTATTACTAGTGATTTTTCTAGGATTATGCTTTGGGGGTTGGGGAATACTGGCGCATCGCCTTCCTGGTCAACAGTAGGAGAAAGTAAAGTAGCACCTGAATGTTAGGCATTTCAAAGAAAAATTAGAGTTAAAACTTTCCCATAGAACCACCGCCTTCCATTCCACTTGAAATTTGTACACTTACATGCAGAACTATAATTTGTCTATTGTTTGTGCTATTGATGGTCTTCGTAAATATCCTACGTCATTTAAATGTCCACTTTAGAAAGTCACCACTGAATAATATATTTAAAACAGAGTTAGCAAAAACACACACACAGAGGTCATCGTAGCAGAAGACAATAGGATAGAGTGGTGAGATACTGTGATTGGTAAGAAATATTTATTCGGTCTTCAACCACCATTCCTGGAATTTCCCTTGTAAGGGGTGTCTTTTGTTATGTTATGAGATGGTTTAGGCAGCACCAAAGGGTGTGGGGGCTGGTTGCCAATGGAACCTACCACGTGATTAGAGGGCCGGAACTTCCAGTCCCACCTCACCTTCATACACGCCACCCTGTAGGGGAAAGAGGCTGGGGATGGGGTCTATAGGCAATGGCCAATGATTTAATCAACTGTGACTACACAGTGAAGCCTCCATAAAAACCCAAGAGAACAGAGTTCGGAGAACTTTCCAGTTGGTGAACACATGGAGATGCGAGAGAGCAGCACACCCTTAGAGAGCCTGAGAGTTCTGTGTTCCTTTCCAAATGCCTTACCCTCGGCATCTCTTCCATCTGGCTATTCCTGAGTTATATCCGTTTACAATAAGCCAGTGACCTAGTAAGCTAATATGTTTCTTTGATTACTGTGAGCCATTCTAGCAAATTAATCAAACCTAAGGAGGGGGTTGTTGGAATCTCCAATCTGTAGCCAGTTGGTCAGAAGCACAGATTCAAAAGTGGGCTTTCAGCGGCCTTCTGAGGTGTGTGTGTGGGCAGGGTGGGGCTGGGACCTGCGGGTGAGGGTGGGGCAGTCTTATCTTTTAGAGAGATGTACTAGAAAAAATTATGGAAAACATAATATATCTAAGATTTGCTTCCAAATAGCCAGGGGGCAGGGGAGATGTCCCCTATATATAATAAGATTGGTTCTTTACTGACAACAGTTGAAGCTGATTGATGGGAACACTGAACTTCATTATGCTAGTCTTTTTATCTTTATATATGTTTGAAATTTTCTATAATAAAGGGTTTAAAAAAAAAAAAAAAAGCCCTGCCTGGTGTGGCTCAGTGGATTGAGCAATGGCCTTCAAACCTAAGGGTCCACCAGTTCAACTCCCAGTCAGGGCACATGCCTGGGTTGCAGGCCAGGTCACCAGTAGGGGGCACATGAAAGGCAACAACACATTGATGTTTCTCTCCCTCTTTCTCCCTCCCTTCTCCTCTCTCTAAAGAGAAATAAAATCTTTTTTTAAAAAAAGGTTTTAAGAAGAGAAACCACAACACACACATCAGAATACTAAACTTAAATAGAGTTAATGTACCAAGTGTTGGCAAAGATTGTAAAGTGACTGGGAATCACATGAGAGAATGGAAAGTATAAACTGGTAGAACCACTTTGGAAAACTAAAAATCAGTATCTAATGAGTAAGCAGGAGTATATCCTATGATCCTGCGATTACACTTGTAGGTATATTCCTAACAGAAATGTATGCATATGTGTACCAAAAGAATACTGGTAGCACTTTAGGGAAAAGTAGAGCTAGGGAAAATATAAAGTCATTTTAACCAAACTGCTAAATTATTAACATTATGAAGGCATGAGGAAACAATTCTTTTTCTTGTTTTAACTAGCCGGGGAACTTAAACTTTTGAAGTTTCCAGTCCTGCATTGATACCTGGGTATATACCAGATCATTGTGCACCAATGCCAAACATACATCCTACCTGCAAATAACCTTCTCACTACCCTTACAGGTCGCAGGCACCCACCCTCCAGACCAGCTGGTTCATCATGCAGACTGCCTGCTGCAAACTCTCTGACTGACAACAATTCACAACCAATCTGAGGGCTAAGAATGCAGGATTGATTATTCTCAAGGACACAACTTTTACTGTGAGAACTCTGAACTTTACTTTCTTCTTCAGATCACTTCTGGGGTTTTGCCTAGCTGTGTTCTAAGTTTGCAAAATCTGTATCGCTTATTTCTATCCAAACATACAAACAAACAAAAACCCAGAGGAAAAAGAAAAACAACACCAAAATCCACCAAGAACAGAATAGATAAATAAAGTGTGGTATATATGTACAAAGGAATAATATATAGCAACGAAAATAAACAAACTACAACAATAGGCAATAACATCAATGACTTACAATGTGGAGCAAAAGAAACCAGGCATGAAGAGTACATGCTGTAAACTCTTTCCATTTATATATACAGTCATGTGCCACTTAACAGAAATAAGTTCTGAGAAATGCATTCTTAAGCAATGTCAATATGTGAAAATCACAGAGTGCACTTACACAAACCTAGATAGTATAGCCTATTACACACCTAGGCTATATGCTATAGCCTATTTCTCTGTGGCGGAGGAAAAATAATTTTCCCTCTCCCCATCTGGGTTCACAGCTAAGACATCCCTATAGTAAAAGACAGATTAACTGGAGAAAAACACACAATGTTTAACAACACATGTACCTCCTACACACCGAGACACCCAGGAAAACTGAGTAACTCATCAAAATGGCCAGAGCTACCACCTTAAATACTATCTTAAACTGAAGACAAAAGAAGATGTTAGACGTAGGAGAGACAGGGGAGGCTACCAAGAAAAGCATAGTAACAAGGGTAGGGTTGTTAAGCAGATTAAAGTCCTTGTCTTCTGAATTGATAAGAATTTCTAAAGATAAGGTATCACTAAACAATAGAAATTTTTCAGGTCCATTTTAGTCTTATGGGATCCTTAATTAACCCAATAGTCCTTATGCAGCATGTGACTGTAGTTGTAAAACAAGCAAAACTAATCTACACATGCCTACAAGGGATGGGTTAGGGATTAGGAAGGGCCACCAGGTGAGCTTCCAGGATACTAATAATGTTCTTCTACTTCTTGATCTGTGAGGCGGTACAGAATACCCACTTGATTTGTACATTTTTCTGTCTATGTTTTACTTCTATAAAAAATAAAAATATAAAATACTTTAACAAAAACATTAAATTTAGGACATTGGTATATAGGTATTCACAGCACTATTTCCTATAAATCTTCTGTTTGAAAATTATTAATAAAAAATCAAAATCAAATCAAATCAAATTATGTTATGGGGGAGAGGAAGAGAGTAGACAACTCTAGGTCCTACACCCACATTTTCTCAAAGGTATGTTTAACTACAAGCTAGATAACATTATCTAGTTTGTATTAGACATACTTTTTTCTAATATAGAAAGGGTCAGAAACAAATTAAACCCACTAATCCTCTGCTACAAGAAATTCTGTGATCACTGCTCATGTCCTATTATGCAAAAGTCTATCTTGGATCAAACATTATTTAGTCAAAATAAAGGACAAAGGTTTTCAGACCCTGCAGCAACTACTTAGAAAAAAAGAGGAGACTTTAATCTCATTACTTAACCTATTAGTGTGGTATTTGCAATGAAATGCTTGCCCTGAGGGCCTTCAGGTACTTTGTTTTTATTTTGTCAGTTTTAAACTATTAGATTAGTCAGGTTGATGAAGAGTAAAGGTTGATATGTAATTCTTAATATTTGGGAAATATTTGGGAATATTTGGAATTAGGTAATGATTTTAAAAATAATTATCCTAATTTTAAAACTTTCATTGCACCTTTTAAAATTGGGAAACAACAGAGAAAGCCTTACCTTTCCAATAAACGGAACTAGATGATGTTCACACATGGAGAACATATCTATGTCCTTCACAATCACCATCTCATCATGGTCTTCATCAAATATAGCATCATTTAGGACATCTGAAATCAGAGGCTTGCTTTAGTGACATTTCCAATTTTATGAAAAGATACAGAGCAGAAAAACTAACAATCTCTATGGGTAAATAAGCTGACAATGATATTAATCCTAACTAAAATATTAAGGGAATGCAAATTAAAAGTAGTTGTTTTTCTTCCACTAAATTAGCAAAGTCTTTTTTTTTTTTAAATGATGGGGGAAAATCCTTCTGATGTAGTATTACATAAAAATGCAGGATTGCAAATACATTTGCAGCATGAGGGGGTAGGGGAGAGAAGTTATGCACAACAAAAGAGTGGCTATTTCTGGTGATAAAAATGAGAGGCTTTCACTTTCTTCCCTACATTTTCTTATACCTAACACTTTCTCTGTAATGGGTATGCAGAAAACCATATCTGAGAAAAAAAATCCTTAGCCTTCTGACTTCTGAGGCCAGATCCAGACACCTATACACCTATAAACTGCACCTCTGCTTTAATCACCCAAATAATTTTCTACTCTTACAAAATTTCTAGTTTTTATGTGCAAGCATGAGGCTTATTTGAAATAGCTGCCTCCCTCCTTCCTAAGGAAATAAATGCTACAGTTTTTATGTGTGTGCCTGCCCAGGTTGGCTTTGGGTGATAAGCAGTGTTTTATCTGTGGACTCCCGCACATGTAGCCAGACATAAGACAGACATTTAGAAACAAATTTTAAAAAAAAAACTTTATTTTTAAAAACTGCACTGATATCTGGATAGCTTGGAAGACTAGATACATTCAAGACAGCGAGTTGTGTGATTTCAAGGACTACATAGCATGATGAGACAAGAAGAGAGAAGATGAGTAGAGCTTTGCAGCCACCAACAGCTATTCCCCCTCAGAAAGGCAGGCTGCGGAGTGAGTCACGGGGAAGATGTGCAAACGTTCACCCACACAGCCTGGACTTCCGAGGCCCCATTGCTACTGGAATAGAAGTGCACAGATATTGAGTCATCATTTAACCACACTTAGCATCCCCCGAGTTAGGCTATTCAAAGGCACGTTTGTGTAGTAGAAATGTCATTAGTGTGCTCAACCAAGGGAACATGATGGGGGTTTAGACACACGCAGACCAACACGGCACCCCTGTTAAGGGGCGCTGATAAAAACCCAGCGAAAAGGCTCTGTGCCTTTCTGTAAGGAAACACTTCTCCAAAAGCACTTTCTATTCTAAATACTCTTCCCCAACCTTCAGTCATATTTCTGAAAGCAGTCTAAAAATAGATCCTTAGTGCTCACCAGAGTGTCCCAGATTTCTCCAAGATTTCCATGTAAATATTATTGCCATGCATAGCTTATTAAAATCTTAGTTACACAAGGAATCTTCCTAAAAGTAAAAACAAACAAAACTATTTCTTAAAGAAAAAACAAAAGAGAAGTGTCAAACATAGGAAGTACTCATTTGAATTTTTCCCTAGCAATGAATGATAGCATCCCCATTCTAAGCTCTGACAACCGTATGGCCCATTTCAAACGCTAGCCCTGGAGTTAGGCTAAGCTAGCATCCGGCTCCATCACTAAGTAGCTTGGGCAAGGCACTCTGGACTTCACGCTTCTCAGCTGTAAAATGGGCATGAAAAAGTGCTGCTCCACAGCGGTGCCCTAAGAATTAAATGAGATAATCCATGTGTTCAGCACTATGCAGGTAAGCAGTAGTTATTATTATGATTACAATTAAGATCGAGGGTTTTGCTAAATCATGTGTCCCATGTACCCTATGTACATCAGAATTAAAAAAGCAATAACTTGCTTTTAAAAAACAGGCTACAGTAAAGGAAAAATAGTAACTTTACAGTGGAGAAACTGGGCAGACAGTATCTTAACCATGTAATCAATGTTCATTTCACCAGTAATAAGACATATTTGATACTGTGTAGCTCCCCCCTATATAATGAGGTGATACAATGAGGACACATGACCTCTGTGGTATTCTCCCCAGAAATCTGTATCTGCAGTCTAATGACCAGGCAGATGGAGAGACATTCTACAAAATACCTAAATAAGGGCACTTTAAAAAGCACGCGAAAGGACTGAGAAGCTGTCATAGGTTAGAGGAGACTAAAGAAACATGACAACTAAATGCAATGAAAAAACTAATATCCTAATAAACTCTGTAGTTTAGGCTATAGTATTTGTGCCAATATTAATCTCTTAAGTGCTGATAACATTAAAGGAAGCTGGGAAAGGGTGTACGGGAACTCTCTGTACTCTCTTTGCAATTATTCTAAAGCGAAGTCTAAAACGATTTCCTCGAGGACCGGAGCAGACCAGAGCAGACCAGAGCAGACCGCGGGGGAGCAGAGCCCAGCCGGCGACCGGGAGAGGGGGCTCCAGGGCTGGCCTGCAGCCGTGCTGCATCGCCACGGGGCCGTTTCGCACTGAATAGTTCCTTCTCTGCACCCTCCCCCAAGATAAAGAAATGAATTCAAAATCACAACTAAAAAATAGGCAATATTTATTAACTTTAATGTATAAACAATGGAGCACTACTCAGAATAACTACCGATACATGCACTAACATGACGGAGTTTCCAACTAAGTGAAAGAAGCCACATACACACCTAGAGAAAATCAAAATATGAGATTCTAGGAAAGGCAAATATAGTGCTGGCAGGCAGGGGGATGGTTTACCGGGAACCAGAAAGGTGAGACAGAGGATTGGCTACAAAAGAGTAAAAAGACTTTTTTGGGTGACAGAAAACCTCTATACCTTCATTGCATTGGTGGCTATACAACTGTATACATCTGCCAGAACTCAAATCGCACACATAAAGTTGGTGAATTTTATTGAATTTAAGTTATACTTAATAGAGTTAACTTTTAAAAATAATTTTTTAAAAACTGAGTATATTATACAACCCTTTGTGTAAAGGAAGTGCAAAGGGGACAATACAAACATAAACACATACATGTGGTTATCTTAAAAAATAAACACTAAAAGAATACATTAAAAAGTGCCCCGTACTCATGAAGGACTAACAAACAGAACGGGAAGAAAGTGAGACATCTTTGAATATAATTTGTAATAGTTTTGACTTTGAAATAATGTAAATGTTTTCACATACTCAAAATTAGACCCAAAGGAACAAAACTAGTGACCCCACGTGTCTTAATGCTCTGTGTGGTAACGGAACATTAATGTTGCCTACGTCCCATTTCATTAAAATGAACCCAGTCTACAAACTTGACCTAGCCAAATCATTTTTCTTCAACAACAATAAAGTTTCCCTGCTATATTTATGTTTTGCTTCAACATATCTGAAAGCTACCATCTGTGACTAATAAGAACAAAACACTATCACAGATTGTTTTAATTTCCTGCCTGTTATCAGCAGCAAGAAGGTAACCTTGGAGACAAGGATTTATGGCATTCTATTTCCTACTGCGGGTCATAACCAATAAAGAAAACCAAAGTAGCCTCCAAAAGTTAAGGTTTGTCTATAACAATGCCACAAACACACACGTGCGTGCGTACACACACACATAAAGCATAAAAGTATACCTTTCTCATGTCATTTATGACAACAAAAGACCCTGCTGGGCAGCCATCTCTCAAGTACTTAGTCCCTTCCTAACAGTACAGTAAGGCAGGCCTAGTGGCAGACCACTCAGGACCTATTTACGCACCCTTTGAAGCACAGGTTCTCAGATTCCCCCAGTGGAATTGTAAAACTCGAATCACTGGGCCCCGCCCACAGAGCATCGGACCATTTGGTATGTCTGGGTGGGCCTGACAATTTGCATTTCTAACAAGTTCCCAGACGATTTTAATGTTCCTGGTTTAGGAACCACACTTTGACCCTGTTTTGACATTTTTCATGGTTTATGCTGCTCCATAGAATCTTCACACCTTCAAAATACTCCTGCTCAAACAAAATGGATATTAAGAAACAAGTTTCTGCTGGGGTTGGGGGAAGAGAAAAGGAAACTCCTGGGATATTCCCCACAAAAGGAAAATTGTGTTTAACAGTTTCTTTTAAATGAGTGCTAATAGGAATTAGCACTATCTGGGATGTTTGGTGATCAGCACAAAAAATTAGAGATCTGCAAGGGACCCAGAACTTCACACTTGATGCTTTTTCCTGGAAGGGCAGTGCCAAAAACAATGGAAGAAGAGTTGGAACATTGAACAGGCATCCATCCTAAGGGGCAGGAAAAAGTGAACGGGGTCTCCCTGCTGGTTTTAGAATTGAGAGAACAAGACACAGAAAGCAAGACCTAAAAAGCCATCAAGATTCTTTGCTCTTGGCTGGATATTAAATCAACTCAAGGTGCTGATAAAGATAAGCCCACCCCGATTTATTGGAGAAAGGCCTGAATCGCTGGCCCAAACCCTCTCAACACCAGAGATATATCAACCAGCACACAGAGCTCATTTCATTCCAACTCTTGGTACCACTGTTATGTATGCTAGTATCTTCCAACCTTGGAAGAAAGCATTGCAGTTTAAGGCTTTGGAGTTTCCACAGTGTCCTGTATCCCATGCACAGAGCTAGAGTTAAACATAGATCTTCCATTTTATCCAATTAATATGTCAGTCTTTACCCTGTGATTACTTCCTTAAAATAGATTTAAATAAGGGACTCCAAAGAAACTCATGTGGCCAAGAGAACATAAGAATTCTTGGTGCAGCATTATGGATAATAGCAAATATTAGGACTTTAATGTGCATCGGAAAAATGATGACACAGTTTGGGTAGAGTCATACAATAAAATATGAACCAGCAGTGAAAGTGAGTGAGTCTGAGCTCCATTTATAATTTTCTGAAACAATGTCCAATGGAAAGAGCAAGCATCAGAAGGAGTAACAGATATATACAGTATAATCCATTTAAATGAAGTAGAAATGATACTGTGTGTTGTTTGTGGGCATACACATAAAATGAAAGTATTAAGATAAACATGAGAGCTAGCAATCAAATTCAGGATCGTGGTTAACTCTGTGGATGGGGGGTAACAGGATCTGTATTTTTTTAAAAGC